GCCAGTCTGGCATGACCCCTTAATTAATATTGAAGCGTCAGAGAAGCGAGTGTCCTCGTAAGGTCCAGAGCGTGCAATGGACACAATTCTCGGTGTGTAGACTCTCAAGGCACGAAGGCAAGCGGAAATATGTTTATCTGGTTAGTGTATCAAACATGTTTATTTCCACTTGATTACAAAATTATTGATTCTTAGTAAATGGTTCCATAACAAGTTCTTTCTGCGACAGTCTCGTGTCAGGCGTTCAGTCGTAGTACCTGTGGACCTTGTTGTCGGATGACGCTCCTGGCACGTCGGTGTTCAGTTTGGTCGAGTGGCAACTTTGACCGACTGATGCTGTCTTGTAATCATACGTCATGCGCACTGAAGCTGCAGGGCTGGCTTCTAATCCGAAAATTTTCCTGGTAGTTTTCGGCATCAATGTAGCAAGTTCGGGCATGTATTGCTTACGTGGCTGTGCCTTTTGCTGTACCGTTGACTTGAAAACTGGCAACAATTATTGTTTGCTATCCAAGTCTGGTGATGCTTGCAGTTCATTTTTGAGAGCAACCAACCATTCTATTCCTTCAAGTCACTCAGGGGCATTCTCCCTCAAAGTTGGAAATTGTGTGCTTCGTGGAGTGGACACAGAAAATTGCTGTCAGCAAATTTTTAGGTATTGTCCTTGGACGACAACCAACACCAAATCCACTGTCACTGCATCGCCGCTCACCTGCTTTGTCGTGCTTACCTCTTGTTGAGGTAATGGACATGAGGAGCTTTGGGGGTAATCAGGGATTCAGAATCTTCGATTCAGCACCTTCGGCATCAGGGACAAAGGTCGCCGAAGGTAATCCTTAATCTCCCGTGGTCGCTCCTCGAGACGTAATCAAGGGTCGTTTGGCACGAACCCTCGCCGACCAATTCATTGGTACGGGCTGCTTTGGTAGACATGGTAGGCTTCATGCATTGGTAGCAAAGTGGTTTTCGGTCGCACATTCGCATCACCTAAGTTTTCCTCGGTGTACATTGTTGAGCACAGACCTACACACGATGTCGGGAATGCTTCGGCGTTAGAGTGTCTCATTGAATTGGCATTGAATACTAAGGGGCAGCCGGTGCGGTCGTCGTGCCATTGTGGCGTAAGTTGCCCTTGGTTTGTCAGATGCCGCTTCGCTCGCAGACGTCTCGGTTGAAATACCTGTCAAACTTGTTCCGAAACAATCTCGGCAATCAAAATAAAAGCCGGGCAACTGATGGCAGGAAGTAGCTTCCTGATCTCCTCCCAGACAACGTCGTGGGTGATGTCGTGGATGCCTGGGAGGCTGGCGTCGAAGTAGTAGCTGGACAACTCGAGTGTCGAGACGCCGGGAAGTTGTTCATAGTGGCAGGCTCGGGCATGCTGTGCACATTCCATGTTGGAAGCAGTGATATGAACACTTCGACTGTTGTTGGGGGGTTGCGGACAAGGCTGCCGAAGGTGTTGTCCCTCACGTGAGGCGCATGGGATTCTTAGGTTCTTGTCTTCTGTAGCATCAAGGTCGGCGTGGGCGTGGGCGCTCGATCAAGCGCAAAACATCCTCCACGAGTGCGGTGGCGCTCTCATTGGGGCAGTGTCCTGGACAGAATCAAGAATGCGGCTCTCTTTCGTTGATGTTGGCTGACGGATGCGCGCTTCAGCTTGATCTTGCCAACTTCCCATGACGTTAAGGAGGATCCATGGTTCTCAGACCGGCGCCGGCATTTGCTTCCACGAGAAGTATAGGTTCTGCAGGAGCTGGTTGTCTGTCCACCCAATGTGGCGGGCGACACTGTCATATTGTTCAATCCAGTCCTTGACGTCTTCATACAGCTTGCATGAATAAAGCGTCGGAGTGTGATTTGCGACGGGCATGCAAAGAATGGTGGGAGGGGACACGGTTTGCTGCTACAGGTTTGTCATTGTTGGCTTAGTCAGCTTCGGATTTTCTGACAGGAGACCGAATTCCGGTGGTTTTTCCTGGTAGCAGCAACTGGCTCGGATTTCAGGTGCTTCGTGGTGTATTTCCGAGCTTACTCCTTGTGGTACTCGGTCGTCTTGCGGTTGTTCTGTCAGGCTCGGGTCAGGACTTTGCCTACGGCTCGACAGGGGTATAAGACGCAGAATAGTCCGCCAGCCGTGTCCCATTATCGGGTAACTCGGCTGAAGAGCCGCCGGGTTCACACAGAGTGAAGGGCTACGGGTAAAGTGCCCAGTACCTCCACCTGAACATACGATTACAGCTGAGCATGACCTGCAGTGTCCCAGAATAGTGAATATTGATAGACGATAGGACTGGAACAAGGATCCGTGACAGTATAACAAAACTAGCAGAAGAGAATCTATCCTGACCACTGAAGAAGCTGCATTGCTTTGGTGGCATTCTGTCCGAATAAATCCTCTCCTTCGGGGTTTGGCGACTGCCGTGGACGAACTGAACTGAAATGGATGTGGGACCACTTTTCTGGTAATGAGCCACTGCAGACTGTTGCCACAAAGCGGCGTGAGCTGGGTACGTAACACGCTAGGTGAAATGTCCGGACAGCTTGCAATTCGCGTAACGAGTGTGGATGAAACGTTTGTGTTGACGAAACGTGCGACAGACCAGCGGGATCAATACCAACTGCAACACCTGTGCTCCGTGAAAGTGCACGTCTACGCCGGAACAATTTCGGAAGCAGCACAGCATCACCTAAAGCATGGCACAGGAACTACCAGCTTGAAGGCAGCTCTTCGGTGCGCCGCACACCTGTGCTCCGTGAAAGTGCACTTCTACGCCGGAACAATTTGTAAACAGCACAGCATCATTCAGCACGGCACGAAAACTACCAGCTTCAAGGCAGTGTTCCGGTGCGCCGCACAACCGAAGTGAGCCCTCGGTCATTTGATCGAAGCTGCACCGCGATTGCACACCGCCAAGCACGACTCAGGCAATTTCCGTCGCTAAACTGTGTATCCAAATATATTGCACACGCTTCACTGCAAACCTCGAAGATTCCGATGGTCAACGAGAGCACAGAAACGTCGCCTTAAATTTTATCCTAGCGGTATCCGAATCAATCCGAGGTCCGAGCAACGTAGGTCAGATTGTCTCTTCCTTGGCAATATCCCGGTCGGTCACCAGCGAAATGCACACCGTTTCTCCGTATTTTCACGTTATACCTAGGTCAAACACCACGCTGAACTCTGAACTCGCTTTCGACCGGCCTCATATGACGGCTTCCGCGTCTGAAATCAACTCGCCGAGGCGAACGACAACCAACAAAGCATCCGACAAGCTCCGGCCCAGCTGGGGCCAGCCGCTGCATGGGCGCTGCCATCTTTCCTGTGACGTCACGTATTTGGTTTGGTCATGTGACGTGTGGTCAAATTTGCGTACAATGGCAGCCTCCTTATGGGGGTCACTTTCGAGTGCAGACCGGAACCCCGGTTTATCGCTCTAAGCCCCTCTACCTCGTTGTTCCGGACAAAGGTCTATACGACCCAGGGGGGTAAAGGTGGGTGAGGAGGAGTGGCAAATCCCGTGCGCAGACACCCGGGGTCCCGAGTGAACGATCGCAAAAGAGAGCGACAGAACACGAGAGAAAGAAAGCAACGTTGCCATGGGAAACGCGAAGAGTGAAAACTCTCAGCAATATAAACAGTGATAATTTAACGTTGTAAACTAAATTCTGAGCTATTCTAACGCTTATAAAAAGCAATAAAGTCATTACGCTGCATTAACTTCCCTTCTGTCGAAATCTCGAAAATCTGGTGGTTGCGCAGTTTCGTATTCCTCAACCGCGCCCAGCCGCGCCCCACCGGCGAAGCCGGGTATATGGTTTAGTTTAGCGTTAACGCGAGGCCGTACATCTGCGCGCTATCATCTATGCAAAAAAAAAAAAAAAGCTTCGAAAGGAACGCGAATACCTTTCCACCGGTAAGTTCATGGATTGTTGAAGTTCACGAAACTGCTCTGATGATGTAACCGTGTTTGGGACCCCGAGGGTCTGCCTGCATGATCCGCCGCTTGCGGCAGCCAGAATGTATGGGAAAATGGCGGACCTTTTCCTCTAGAGTTAGTATGTATGATCTCTATGATACGACCGCAGCGCCGCCACGTACATCCGGGACCTTTCTACGCTCGCTGTTCGTCGAAGCCTCATCCCACTAGCCTTTTCTAGTATGCGCCGTTTTTTTTTTTTTTTCCGCCGCTTGGTGGCGGGTTTGTCGATGGGTCTTTTCTTCTTTCCGTACTTTATAAACTGCATTTGTTTCTTTTTTGATCTAAAATACCGAACAAAAACTACATTCATACATAATTGAAACGGTTCGCGACACTTACATTTGGTATTTCGACTAAAAAAAAACTTTTAGCGGCTCTGACCAGTGGTAAGCCCAGGACCAAAGACGTCACATATTGCGCGCTTTCGGCAATGCGGGTCGCCCTCGTAGGTGGAGGAGGTTTCCGCGTCATCCGGTTAAAATATGACTCACTGGTATTTAGTGACTCTCTCCGTGCCCGCTGGCTTGCCCGAACCCCAAGAGACGTGTAAACCGCAAAAAGGGTAGACGCTTAAATATGAATATGAATAGTGCAACCAGCCTCTGCCGCGTTGCGTCAGTACAGCGCAGCAGAGGTTGGTTGCACTATTTTAACGCAACGCAGCAGAGGCTGGTTGTACTATTTCTCCACTAAGTGGAAACAACCATGCTGTACCTTTTTTTTTCATCTCCGTACGTTGTTTGACGTAGCCTTTCCAGCCTAAGCACAAGGTTTGATACTACAAAAGTGCAGTCCTCGTGTCATCCTTCTTTTCATAGTTTGGTCTTATTTATTACGTAAATTATGCAGGTGATATTGTTGTCTGCTTGTACTGTAAGCACGTTTAGGCAAAGATTATGACGGGAAGCCCTACCTCATTGCGGGTAGCCATACTTTTGTTTTATAGACTAGGTGGCGCGAGCTACCGCCCGTTATAAAGGGTACAGCCGTTAGCATCTATCTATTCATTCATTTATTCACGAAAGATAAACATGGCGGCGCCCAGCGGATACGAAAGAGCAGCAGTTGCGGTTTTGACGAGTGCCGTTGAACATGATCAAGCGTCGCGGTACACATCAGCGCTCGTTTGCTACCAAGAAGGAATCCAACTTCTTATGGACGCCATCAAAGGTATTGCTGTGCCCCTTCACGCAGCCAGACTGTAAACCAATGGCACGAGTTCATGAACCCATTTTTTGCAGAAACGACAGATGTCATCAAACGAGATCACCTGCGAAATCGGGCCAAAACTTACATGGACAGAGCTGAACGCATCAAGGAGCAAGTTCGGAAAGAGAAAGCAGGTCAGTGATCTCACTGGTGGCATATGAAATTCCACAGACATTGCTAGAGATCGTAATGGATTCGGCCCTTGTAGAGTTCCTGTATATGCTCCGCCGGAGGGGGGTGCAGAGTTGCGCATTTGTTTCCCCCGCGCCGCCACGCTGCTATTCGCCGAGATCGATCACGTGAGTAGCAAAGCATCCAGCGCCGTGTAAAACAGCCATAGCTACGGTCGCTCCGCCGATGTTACACGCGCCACGGCGTATGTTCCCCTGCTTTCACCTCCTTCCCCTCCTTTTCTGTTTTTCATGCGCGGCGCCGCTATTCGCCGAATTCAGTCACGTAACGAGCAAAGCCTCCAGGGCCGTGCGGGAAAGCCGGCGCTACTTCCACCCGCCGTGGCTGAATGCGCAATTCTGCTACCTTAGGTAGCTATATTGTCACGAATGACAACTGATGAGACTTCGAATAACTGCAGACGCTAAACGTTTAATGGGGCGAACTTGTGCCCAAAACAAAATAAAGAAAGAATAGCGTTGCAGGCGTCAATATCGGCGGAACAGCAAGATCGAGCGCTGGGGCTAGACTGACTCCGGCACGCCATGCGGAGCCCCTTTTGTACACGCGGGGGCTTCTGGAACAATCGGCCTAGACAATTCAGCGCGTAGAACATTCTGACCTAGAACTAGCATCACGGTTATCGAATTTACCAGAATATCACATTACAGAGTCAACAAAAATCTGTTCCCGCGGCCAGGCATCAAACTCGGGCTTTTAGTGTGGAAGGCAAGTGCGATAACCGTAGGGCCATGAGCGCGCTGCCTGCTTGGTCAGGTGCGCTCGCGGCAATATACAGGAATTCTAGGCCCTAGGCAGTTGCGAGCACATGGACCAGCCTTGATTGTGCGTATGGGGCCACTTTTCTGCTGGCTCGTTCAGAGCGGCGATGCCTTTTTTATTTGCTGCTCTCCCGTCGTCGAAGGATTGAAGAAGCTGAACTGATGAAGTTCGTGGGGCACAGTATCGATGCAGTAAATATGTTCTTTGTAAAATATGACTCTGCTGGAGCATCTTTAGATCGAAAGGTTCATGGCAACCAAACCGGTTGTTCCGACACGCCCCGTCACTCGCCAATGCATGTATGGGCAAGTTTGTGGGAATAAAAGCCAACGTTCGGAAGCTAATAAAAAAAAAGGGGGGGAATCGTCAGTTAACACAACTAACGTTACGGATGGGTTCTTAAGTTATCAGGGAGGAGACTGTAGTATGCTTATTAAAGTGCCACTACACATGCCTTGCACGTGACGTCACGGTAGGGAAAGACGGGGCCCTGCGCCATGCTAATGGTTGACTTCACACCATGCGGATGTGCTTACCAAGGTGCAGGATGCCGGTAACTGCCCGGACAAGCACTGGCATGCACCACATTTCAACAAAGGTACTATCACGATCAATATGAGCGCGAACACTGCTCCACGTGGCCCGTGGTACTATCAGTGCCCCCTGTCGCTTGCTCTTTTTACAGCGCCAAGGTGGAAAAGGTATCGCCCATGCTCGCACCGCACTAACTTCTTCCCTGTGCGCATTTGTGGTCCTTTGCTCTTGCAAACCTCACGCGGAGGAAATAATAGGCAGTCTTAGTTGGTTATTTTGATACTTTCGGTAACATTATGATGCATGCTTAATTAAAGGCATCAACGAAGTATTGGGTATTGTTATCGGAGTAATGGGAATAATCTACTAAAACTTCCTAATCAAACGGACGACCCTAAACATATTTATACAAGTTATTTTTGCTGGCGCACATTGCTAGTGAAAAATGCTCTTTGTCATTGGTGAACAGTTTTGCGGTTTCGCCGGCCGTTTTCGCTAGCAGACGGCTCGGAAGTTCAGAGTGGTGCGGCGATCGCTAGAGATGATATGTCTGGACCACAAGGTGCATTTATACTTCAAAGAGCAATTGACAGGGGGCACTGCTAGCACCGCGGGCCTCGCGGTGTGGTGTTCGCACTTGTATTGATTGTGATAGTACCTAATGTACCTACCTAGATGTTAACTTTGAAAAACTTGCCAATCATTACGATGATGGCGTACAGCCAGTACGTGCAACATTTTTCGGTACTACAGGCAGAAAGTTTCGGTATGCCGCGGCGACGAAATTTTGACACTGAGTGCCCTCGTTTTGGCAAAAAAAGCTTCATTGCTTGCCAAAAAATTTGACAAGCGACTCTAGGACGCTTGTAGTAAAATTGCTACGATTTTGCGAAGTATTAGTAAACAATGCAATGTGACCGTCACACTCTAAATCCAGAGACAAGGAGAAATAAAATAACGGACAAGACGACTCTCATTGTCCTGGGGTTTAGATTATGATGTTTTCTAACCAGCTCACCTGAATGCTTTCGCTTACTGCAAAGGTTGCCGTGTCGCGGACAACACAAGCCGATGCCACGGCAGTGGTGTTTCGGCAAGCATGCACACGGGGGCCGCCGCCAACCGATCGCCGTCTGGCCGGACTTGCGGCATGACACTCTTGCCCGTAGTCGGCAGGGAGCCCCGATAATTCGCTCGAAACGTGGAAACGGCGTGATGAAACAAAAGGCAATGGGCATCTACGTCACAAATGGACAAAGCAGATGCAAGAGCATGCACGAACATAAACAACTGTAGAAAAGTGCTGTCACTCGCTGCCATGAAATGCGTCCCGCAAACTCAGTAACGCGCGGCCGCATCCCTTCCCTGCCACTCGTGCTTTCTCTTACTTGACGGCTACTCTGTCGCTGGGCATGTCGACGAAACGATAATGCGTAGCAATTGCTACTGCCGAGCGTGGCGCAGTTTACCGTGGCTCTCACTGCGAGCTGCCGCCGAATTAACCACCAGCAGGGTTATTACCAGTGTTTGACGTCATCATGTGACATAGGTGCAAGGCACGTATAGATGAAACGATGCCTCATGCGAGACGTCCGTCGACGTTCACTTGGCAGCGGGAACTTACCACGAGCAGATCCACATCGAGAGTGGCTCCACGGGCCACAGCTACCAGCAAGTCTTCGGCCACCTGCTCGACGACACGGTGACCGCCGTTGAGGTGGACGACCCATACGTACGTTCCATTCACCAGGCAAGTTTGTGTTGCCCATGGGGTGTACCGCTTTAACGGCTCTTCTGTTGTCACAGACAGGATGAGAACATCACTGAGGAGCATGAATTATCCCGCCTCCAGCGGGAGCTTCTGACCTCTGATAACACTCGGGTGTCTCGTGAACCCCGGGTGTGCTCGCGAACCCTGGGTGTGCTCGCGTAACAAGCACAGCAAAAGGCGATGAGTGCGCGATAAAAGCTGGGCACCTGAGGATGACTTTCTGTCAATCTCGTTCCGTCTGTGACAACAGCCAGAGACACTCGGCTATCGAAAACGGTGTTGCTGATTTGTTTTCCGGTGACATAGGTTCAGAACTTTGTGCGCCTTTGCGAACTTCTCAAGAAGAGGTGTCCGTGCCTGAGACGGGTCGTCCTGACAACCGGATCCGATCAGGTACGTGCAGCGTCGGCATTTTACTTCTTTTAAAGGGCGGCTCCATTCTGTTCCATAAAGATTGGCGTAGTCTTTGATTGTACATGATGAAATACTAATAATAAATGGTTCTGTGTAACTTTTTTCCCCGGGAACTCTAGTATTTTTAGTCCAATCTTCATTAAAAAGAGGCGGGCAACAATTTATGGGCTTCGGTCGAATGATTGGGGGGTTAGTCTGTCACTTCTAAAATCAAGAACAAAAAACCATCTTTGCTTGTGCGTCAACTTTAACAATTAGCAGTAAGAAATCAAATTGAGCAGCTTGCGGTTTGTGGTACTGAACCCTATCACCGTCTTTGGAGTCACGTGCGCAGTAATGTCCCTCGGGGGAACGCGGACGTTGTGCTTGGGTTCTGTCTGCAGCATATCCCACGCTCCTCCCGCGATTGTCGACTTTTCAATGTTCGGTTCAGTCACGACAGAACACTGCATGCAGCCAGCGTCGCCGTTGGTTGGGGCGGGCGGTCAAAGTCGACCTCGCTCAGTGGGGACAAATGTCGAAGCTACCCGCTCGAGCTACTTGGGCTTCCCGCGCTGTCAATAAGTGAAAAATCTTTTACCACATCTAAAGGGTCAGTGACACCCACCCCCCAATATTTTGTTTTCTTTTTTGCCAGGCGATTTAATATGGTGTCATGGGAATATCCGATTAAAATTTTGCTGCAGAATCACGTATATTTTCAATAAATCCGAAAATCTCGACAGCTCGAAACCGAAATTTGAGCACGGAACTTTTAGCCGGAAATCGCGTAACCACATCTGACCAAGTTTTTTTTTTTCCTATGCTTGTTTGGCGAGTGAAGCAGACGATGAAGTTGCGTGCACCGTTTTTCGTGCTATTGTTCCACGCTCGTATCCCACGAACGACAGTTCCGAAGTAGCAGCCCCACATCCATCGCAACGTTGGTTCGTCGTGTGCCGCCATCGCGTCGTCCAGCCTGCGGTATGTCGCCATATTGGGAATGATCTGAACATGTACTTCCATGACCTGTGCAACATTTCTTTTTTTTTTTGGAGGCCACAGAGATAGTGTTTGTATTATTTTCTATTTTGAATATGGAATGTGTGCCTTAGATTACCCACGACTTTGAATATATTTAGTACACATAGTTTGAACGCCACGTGACCATAAAAAAGAGAGTGAGCGCGCCTGAAACTGGCCAGTACTCGGCCAGTTGTTTTCGGGCCGAAAGAAAACGAATTTCGAGCTGCAAATTATGTTCTGGGTAGTTGGACTCTTATAGGAAGTATTCACTGGACGCCATATTTGTGGGTGCTGTTTAAAGCGCATGCTCAGAACGAGCTCACATCAATAAGCTGCAAAGACCGGCACTCTTGATGGTGCGGAATGCACGTTGCAAAAGAACTGTGGAAGCTCGTCGTCAGCACGCGCTCAGAATTCTCGCACACAGGTATGGCCGCCAGTGAATACTCCATATAGGTCGTGTTCAAATAAAAACCTCGGTGAGCGTGAATACCCTGTCAGTGTCCCTTCAGCAGCCATGGCTTCAAAAGTCTTCTTGGCGCGGTGGTTGAACGTCGGGCTTAGAATCTTGGGGTGCAGGGTTCGATTATCCTTGAAGGACTTTCAGAATTTCGTTCTTGATCTCAGTTTATCCGCTTACCACTCTTCAGCACATGTACATTCGTTTCGTTCTACAGATCCTAATTCTTTCGGGAAGGCTGCCAAAAGAAATGCTGTCACATTTAAAATAAGTTGTGCTTGCCACATGATGTGAAAGTGATCCAAACAGTGTATATTCGAGCTGTATGTTAAACAAAAGAGCAGAGCGAGTAAGTGGGTGTGACACCTAGCGACGGGAGCATCCGCCACCACCTGTCGCCACTCTGGCAATGACAATGGGACGACAAGGAGGCAAGAATGGCCTCCTAACCCTAGAATCAAGATCAGGGCTCGAGATATTTGTATTTAAAGGGTTCACTAAAAAAAGAAAGAGTTTCGTGTGGACATCTTTAACTCAGCAAGGCCGCCGGCAGTGAGCAGTCGGTCATCGGCAGGGAGTGCCCTAGTGCCTTGGTAGGTCTTACTTCTGGATGGGCAAAACCACTCTGTCCGTGGGATCATTGTCGTAGCTGTTTCTGGGAGCCCATAAACTGTCTGGCGGCCATTCTGCAGTTCTTTTCTTTTGCTCCTCGCAATTAAGACGCATGTGAGAAGCACATAGAAAGACACCCTTTGGTCATCACAACAAAGTAGCTAAGCAACATTGTCGTTCAATTAATCCTGAAAAGTGTGTAAGACAACTGTGAGGCCGTCGTGAGATTCCATCGTAACCTACGTAAAGCTTTTGATAATTTTGCTTCGTGAACACGAACTTGTCGTTAGGTTTCGTCATACTCACCTTTTTCGTCGTAAGATTGCGTCATCAATCTGGAGTTGGTGCAGTTACGGACGCAACATTGAGAGCCTCTGTATCCTTTGCCAGCCATTGCCACTGGGCATTGTAGATAGGGCCTATGCAGATGCAGCATAATACGCTATATCTGGGCGATGGGACCTGTATCTATCATTTGGTGTGAAGCAACAGTGCGTGCAGTGCACACAGACTCATGCACCTTCCACGAATCATGTAGGCTGCAATGAGTGCACTGCTAGTGCTGCCTGCTAGTCTTGCTTGTAGCAGCAGAAAACAAGCAAACAGTTGCAATGCACATGACATAGTTAGCACAGTGTTGACTGTGCCAGCATGGAGCTATATGGCGGCGCCGTACCTTGTCCACTAGGATTAGAGGATTATGCTGACTTGCCGGATCTCAAACTTTGTTGATTAGTGAATAAACGCTTAGGCCGAATTATTTCAAGATACCTTGTGTCTGGTCTTTCTAGGTGATGCTAAAGAGAAGGGAATTACTTACTCAATATAGAAATTGAGATGGAGTTGCCCTTTGATGGTGCCTAGGAGTCAGCTGTAGGCTATGTAAGAATGCAGTAGAAGCTCTGCTTCGAGCATGCTCTCATGCTTTTGCTATGTATGCGACAAAGTGTTCTCGAATGCACAAGGCTTGTGCTGGATGCTTAGCCTCTACTGCATGTTTAAACTGTCAACGACCATAGTAAAATGTGTAGTGCCTGACGTGCCACATTTTCTTCCACGGCATTGTGGAATGCAAATGGACTAACCGATATAAACTACCAAAATATCAAGCTGTGCCCACATCACAATAAATGCCCACCCACTACTCCACTACTTCTAAAGGTTTGAATAAGTAAAGGACACATCAACAGGGTCCTTCGTTTCTGGGTTTTATTTTTTTTCAACGACTATTTTAACGTCCGTCCAAAAACTTATTGGCATAGTTTTGGAAAGTGCCGAGTCAGCATGATGAACTCAGTCAATAGAGGGAGGGCAATCCTAAACAAGGACACAGGAGGGAGACGACCATCGGAACAAGATAAAACTTAGCCTATGTTGTATCCTGTTCCGATGGCTGTCTCCCCATGGGCCTCCGTGTGCCCTTGTTCAGGATTGCCCTTCCTTTTTTTGTGCCCCTGGTATAGAAACTCAAAGCTCCCAAAGTATTCAATGGGATTTTGCCCATTTTGCTGTTGGGGCCATCCGGCTTAGCCTTGATTTTATTTTGTGTGCTTTTCCATTTAGGGTCGTAGTCTGAAACAATTTGAAGAGAAATTAATTAATTTTTGTAGAGTGACGTCAAAATAAAAAATAAAAATTCCCCCGTTCCGGAAATGATGTCATGGACATGAAAATAAAAATAAAACCAGAAAACGAAGGACCCTACATATCAAGTGCCCTCTGCGGACGTCTGGAGAAACCTGGCTAACCAAGATGCTTCTCTGTGTCAGCCGCTTCTTCGAGCACACCAGGGCAATGCAATCAAGCTTGACGTGCACACACCAGTGTTAAGCAGTGGAGCCTGCCCTACCTTGTGCCCTTTTTGCAGTTTTGTTCTCAAACCTAACAAGCTCACGCCCCCACTTGTTTTAATGGCGTGTCAAACTTTTGGGTGGGTGTTTGCTGGCCATTGACTCAAAACATGTTCAAGGGTTAGGATTTCCGAGGAAAGTGTGACGGGATGCCACGGAAAGCATTATGAAATCTGTAACACATACTTCAGTGGACAATCTGTACAAAACAGTGCACAACTGAAAAGAAAACAAAATTTTAAACGCGCCCCGACTTGAATCGAACCCACAACCTTGTGATTATGAGCCGAACACTCTACCACTGCGCTAAAGGTGCATGGCAGTGTGTCGGTGCCAGAGGGAGTGGTGGTGCAAGCAAACGCCGAATGCGGAATTCAGTGTTCATACATGTTCCAGCAGTGAGTAGGGATTAATGATTAATGCGCACACACATTAATCATTCTAATCAGAGCTGCTCGCTTTTCCACCGTCCCCATGCACTTTCATCTCCTCCTCTACCTCAGTTTTTGTTCATATAACCCAAAAATGAATGAACCAAAATGACGGCTGAGTCTGCCACAAGTACCAAAGAATGCCGCGGAAACATTTTGTGCACACTGACTTCATCCCTAGGATACCTTGTACCTAGGGATAAAGCCCCTAGGATTCCTTGAATGTAGAGAATCCTACATTGAACCTAGGAATTTTATGGTAGATAGGTCCCAAAATTGACGAATGTGAACTTTTTCATGACATCTGGCATACCGTTGCTCTTCCCTGTAACAAAACAGCACGACCAACAGGCCCAGTTCGACCGATTGAACCAGGTGAAGTCCAGCCTCGCTGACCACAAGATTGAACTGACCGTCAATCTTTCGGGAACTCTGCATGACCGAGAAATACGGTAATCTCTTTTCCTGAAACTCTTCCTCCGGTCAGCCGTTTGTTTGTGGGTATGAGACACGAGCCGCCATTCTTGACATTACTGTTGTATTTGAGCACACAGGGAAGTTACTGCCAAATACTTATTCTGGTCTGGCCATCAGCGACTGGCTTGCTCTCGTGATTCCCGAGAGTGTGTGCGCTGTCGGGTCCCGCGGCCCGTGGGCCCTGATCGTCGTCTTTGTGCACAGCACTATTCAAAACAAAACCAGACATAACACATCTCTCCCCTTTAGAGACAGTCACCATATCATTGAGTACGCTGTCTCGTGCATTGAGCTCTGGATAATGTTGGAACACTGTGTGCCTCGGGACGTGTAGTGGTCACTGGGTTCGACGGATTTTGCGCATTGTCCACTGTTGGATGGCTCAGCACTAATGGGGATTGTCCACTGCGGTAAAAGACCTCGAGCCGGCTTCACGCTGCTGTCATCCAAACACGTCTCAGCGATTTGATTGGATGACCTGGAAGCTTTGGAGTTTGGTTGCCGATGGGGTCCTCATGCCATCAAACTGCACCTTACTCAGTTGCAACCAGCCACGAGCAAGAGCCAACGCTCTTTGTGAGAGTTCCTGGCGTCCACCGTACTGTTCTTGTCAAGTTTCTCACAAAGACGTCTTGGCCGAGGGAAAATTTCCTGGGAGTCCAAGACTCTGCTTCTTCTATTCTCCTTCCTTGATCAATGTGTGGGCAACCCAGGCAAGTGTTTGCTGTTAACTGTCGACCAAACATTGTCATACTTAGCGTCTGTCCTGTCTTCACACCTGCAGTCATGTGTTGCTTAAACATAAACTTAGCGAGCCTACATGGCAGATGGGGTTCTCCCCAGGAATCGTATATCATGCGAGCAGCGGAAAAGGGGAGGGGGGGGGGGGCAGTTTTTGCGGCACGATCTGGCTTGTCGATGGAAAGCACCTTGCGTAGGCTCTCTAACTTTGTGGCCCTGTAAGTGGCGCCACACCGCAGTGATAAAGAAAAAAAAAAAAAAATTGCCTTACGAAAAAAAAAAAGAAAAAAGTGGGGAAGGAAAAGTGGGAGTGAGCGAAGAGGCGAAGGGGCGAAGATAAAGCAAGCCATGGCATGAGCAAGCATTGAGCAGTCAAAGAAAAGTCATCTCGGCTTTCTGCTCTCTGCCACTCACCGCCTGCTGAGAGAACTGCTGCGCAGAGCGCGGTCGTCGCATCTGTTTCTTTTGTGTTTCTCCTCAATTAAGCACCCCGACCCCTCGTCACCCTCCCTCACTGCCGACGGCACTCTGCGGCTCCGCTCTCCTTGTTTGAAAGAGGGGCGGCAGTCGGTGATGCGATAACACGCAATAACGTGCCAGTGTGCAGGCCTGCTGAGTATGACTGTCTGCAGCTATGTGCGCAGGCGAAATTGCACCGTCATCCTATCGCATAATCGAGCGGTGGGCAGTCAGTCGGAGTATTGGGCGGCAAAGCCACTGCCGCCCACTATGGGGAGATCCCTGATGCCAGGCTAACTGTTTTGTCTTTGGCCAGTGCTATTTCGGCTTCTTTTGTACCGTCCTTTCGTTCTGCCCGTTTGTTGCCGGGTTGTATGGTGCACTGGTGATGTGTTTTGATTCCGTTGTTCTCGAAGAAGAACTCTTCCGTTTCTTGCAATGCGAACGACGTACCATTATCTGTGACCACCTTTTCGGGCAATATGAATGTCGCGAATGAGTTCCGAAACTCTTTGATGACGGAATGTGATTGGACGTTCTGCATTTGGCGTACCTCGAAGCTACCTGCTGTTAGCGTCGACGACAATTAGGAACACTTTGCCTTCCAGTACACCGGCAAAATCAGCATGGATCGTTTCCTATGGCTGCGATGCCTAGTGCCAATCGGAAGAAGGCACTTGTGGTGGAGATTGCTGGTGCTCCTGAGAAGGAACGCACAACCTTGCCTTTCGCTTTATGTCTTTGTCTTAATTGGGCCACCAAACATAGCCTCGAACAGTGCTTTTCATATTCACCATGCCTCTGTGGTCAGCGTCTAATAACGCCAATACTTGAGCTCCGCATGCGTTAAGTGCTATAGTCCTGGTATCACGAGTCGGACAGTGGTTGATCGTTGAGAGTTTATTTGCTATACTCTTGTATGGACGATAGTCTTCGCCCTTTAACTTTTCCAGACTTCCTTCTTGATTGTATGCATGGGTCGAGAGCATGTTTTGCCTTGCCAGTTTTGCATTGTGCTCTGTTGACAGACGAGTAATGGGAGAACATGACACCATCAAAACGTCTCCAGGGATGCAAAATTCGTCAATAGTCGATGACAATGGCGACCTGCTGAGCCCATTTGCATCCTGGTGGCGCGAACCTGGCTTGTACACCAGGGTGTAATCGTTTGCACTATACTTTATGTACCATCTTGTCATGCATGGCGATAACACCTGTCGGCGTAAATCGCGATGTGGCGCCCAGCAATGTATTCGTGAAGTGACGGACTGCGTACACGATGGCTCACCCTTCCTTGTCTAGCTACTATCTTTCGGCAGCTCCCAAAGTTCTTGACACAAACGGGGCTGGGGCTTCACGTTTTATGTCATCTTCTTGGGACAGAATTGCCCCCACACTATACACCTTTTCAAAAAATGCTGTGTTAGGCCACCGCCATGTTGCTGATGCTGATGCGGCTGGTGCGACTCTCGCGTCCCATATCAGCTAGAAATTTCCTGCCACTATCTTGGACTGTGGAAACCCGCTTAGAATGAACCCACAAACAGCGAATTATTCTCGATATCGAACTCACAGAATCTTTATATCAAAATGAATGTATAATTTACTTTTTATAGCGAACAGCATATTGGCTATATCAAACCTTTTCACCCGAAATGACTTCCAAAAACGCGCAAACCATCATCTCCTAGCCTGTCCCTTCCCCCCCCCCCCCCCCCAAAAAAAAAAAACAGTAGGGAAGGAAGAAATGTTTAATAGCTCAAGTTGCGAACAAAGTTGAGCGAAGAGAAGCGATCCAGAAGGGGAGAAAGCTAAAAAATTCACTCTGCACGCATGCAAAGAAAAAAAAATTATCCCAAAACCGTTGCTCACGAAGAGAAGCAATTCAGAAAAAGAGATAAGCTAAAAAAAGAAAAAAAAAAAAAAACTGCACGCATGCAAGAGTGAAAAAAAAAAAAAAATAATAATAAAAAATGAGTAACTTTTTAGCGGGTGTTACAAGGCGGAAGCGAAGGGATGAGAAAGAAAGGAAAGCTCTTTCCTTACAACGAACGTATCATGGAAGTTCGTTGTAAATGGGTTTTGCTATATCGAATTACTTGCTATGTCGAACTGATCATAACGTTTCCTGCTGTTCGTTATAAATGGGTTTGACTGTACCTATGTTTTGTATTCAATGTTTTCTGGCCCATCTTGAAAGTTTCCACTTAATTTTTCTGATGCATGCTGCATATCCTTTCTGTGTTATCTTCCACTCTGAGAAATAGGGCTGGTGAGTACCTGCCATTCAAGCGTTTCTGCTCGACATTCACGGAAAAGAAGGAGGACAGGGACGTTGAACGGCCCTCGACACAATTTTTCGAACAATGACAACTGTTCTCTCCCCTCCCAGTGATAAACCGCGTAGAGTCCTTCTCAGTCATAGCCAAAAATAGTTGTTTGGGTTGTAGTCAGTCGCGCCCGTTCCTTTGCTGTGGTGCTGGTGTGAAAAAATTAAGCTCTCCCCAAAACGTGCCCCATACTGAAGTCACCTTGGGTTCCGTCTGATCGTCAAGATGTGACTGTTGTCGACTGTGATTGTATTATTTGAGATCTTTCTCAAATAAATTCTTTTCAGATAACGCTGCATTGTGTGGTACATACAATATATTGTTTGAATGTTAACATTTGCTAAATTGTATGTCCGTATCCTGTCCATCGGTAAACACACTATTTGTGAGCGTGAAAAATGCATGCCTTTTGGCTATCTTCTGTTGTAACTTATTTTTGACAGCTAAGCGCTTTGTCGTTTGACACGCGGCTAATCGTGCATCGCCGTCAAAACTTGTCGTAAAAAAAGAAACGACAACTAACACTCCAGTCGCATTCGTTCGGTCGCGCACGTACCCAACAAATACAGTTGAACCTCGATTTAACAAAGACACCGGGGCCCGCTAATTATTTCGTTAAATAGGAAACTTCGTAAAATCGAGGAAGGGAGACCTCGCGCATAGGCTGCGCGGGGAATCCAAACTAGTTCGTTAAATCGGGAAATTCATAAAATCGGGTTTCGATAAATCAAAGTTAAACTGTATAGTTAACAGTCTTTTTGTGTTTGCTTTGCTTTTTTGTTTTTTCAAATGTGGTCCAATGCTTTCTCTATGTCCTCGGGAGAATACATACACATGAAACAGAAAATACACCGAAAAAAGAGAATTAAACTGCCAAGATGGTGTGCAACTGCGCATATCGAAATCACAGTCCACTCAGTGAGGTTTAACAGGGACCCTGGTGAAAGTCTAGCCTCAAACCCAGTGACTGGACTCGAAAACAGTTTGTTGCCCCTGGGGTCGAGTGTTTTTTCGAAAGGTGTATAGGGTATTCCGTCGCACGAGGGCAGCAACGGCTTGTTTTCATTAGAGTTCCTGTATAGGCTCCCTACGGGAGCCAGAGTTTCGCATTTGTTTTCCCCGCGCCGCCACGCCGCTATTCGCCGAGATCCATCACGTGAGGAGCAAAGCATCCGGTGGCGTGCAAGAAAGCCACCTTTACGGTCGCTCCGCCGACGTTTCTCTTGCCCCGGCGTATGTTTCCCTGCTTTCCGCCTCCTTTTCCTCCTCTCCTGTTTTCCATGCGCGGCGGCGCGCGCGGCGCCGCTATTCGCCAAATTTAGTCACGTGAGGAGCAAAGCATCCATCTCGTGCGGGAAAGCCGGCTCTACGGCCACGCGTCGAGGCTGAATGCGCAACTCTGCTACCGTAGGTAGCATATACAGGAACTCTAGTTTTCATCATAGTCTGCCTACAATCTGGGCTTCTTAACCAGCCTCTTCATTTCACGAAATGCTTCCCTGTGCTTGTTGTTTTTCCATTCCCAAGGAACATTTTTTTGAAGAAGCACGTAGAGGTTAGCTGCAAATGTTGCTCTATTCTTGAGGGAATCGGTCGTAGAAGGTCAGCAGCTCCTGAAATGCTTGCAGCTCCATCTTTCCTACTGGCTCTGTCATATCATCCAAGTACAGGGTGTCACAAAAGAAAATTTACACGGTCTTTTCCACCGCAAAAATAGACTAGGCATCACCGAACGCTCATTCTCCGCCCAAAGGTAGCGCTAGAGGTCACAACCAGATGCCAAAGTTTCAGCCCGATCCGATGAATTAATCAAAAGTTATAAGTGATTTTCTGAAAATTTCAATGGGAGAATGGCGGCCGACGGAGTTTTCAAACACATGGGGCTCTATGGCACTAGAAACCGAAAACAGGTGAAAATGGGCTCCATTTTCCCATTGAACTTTTCAGAAAATCGCTTATAACTTTTGATTAAGTTGTCGGATCAGCCTGAAACTTTGGCATCTGGTTGTGACCTCTAGCTCTACTTTTGGGCGGAGAATGAGCGTTCGACGATGCCTAGTTTATTTTTGCGGTAAAAAAGACCGTGTAAATTTTCTTTTGTGACACCCTGTAGATGCTTGTTTCCTGTATGTTAGGCAGCGTCATTTCCATTGTACGCTTCAAAATTGCTGGTGCCGCTGATACCTATTCCAAAAGGCAGGCATTTCACTTTGTACAAGCCCTTGACAGGGTTAATGGTCAGAACCACTGCTGTATACTCTTAACACCTTCAACTGTTGATAGGCTTGACACAGATCCACCGTCGAGAATATGGCTCTTAGGTTTGCCAGTACCTCAGCAGTTGGTAGCAGGTACTGCGTTTTTCGATGCAGTGTTGTCTTTACACCTGTAGTCCCCACAGGGTCTGATTTCGACACTCTTTATGGACGAGGACTGGAGGTGTAGCCCATTTTGAGTGTTGCACTGGCTCAGTTATGCCTTGCGTCTTTAGTCGGGAGGGCTCTTGAGTGACTGCTGGTAACATTTCTAGAGGAACGGGAAGTTCCAACTGAACTGTGGGTCCAGTGTAACCTGAAATGTCGTTCTGGAAGACTGCGGCGTGTTGTTGCAAAACTAGTCGCATCTCTGGTGGTGTGCTGTGCTTTTGCACTTGACTGATAGTTTTTCGACTTGAATCTGATGTATGCTCGAAGAGATCCCAGGAGTTTTAATTAAACCTTTGCCACTCCAAGTGCGTAGCTCAATGTCATCGTGCATACGGTTTGGGGGATTCCGAAGCCACATTTTGCTAAAAGTCTCCTCGCCGATCAGCGAACAAGCGGCACCTAAATCAGCTTCGAACTGGAGCCTCTTGCCTTCAGTTCGAAGTGTCGCACGAGGTTTGGGGATGTCTCTGTTTGTCTTCAGCTTGTTAAGCTCATAAAGTGAGCATCCAGGGTCGTGTACTGCCAGTCTTGCATCTGTCGCTGCCATGATGTGGTTAGGTAGTTTCTTTGTGCGGTTTGGTTGCTCGGTGCTTTATCTTGGCAACACGAGCCTTTTCAACATGCTTGCGCTTGTTGCAGTACCTGTGGTCCGTGTTTTGGAAGCATCAGTCTTGCGGATCATGGTGTCCTGCGCCAGTGGCCGCGTGGTCCCTGGTGTGCCGAGGTTTCCTCGCTTTTCTTTTCAGTCTCATTGACTCGTGCTTCGACCTTGCCCTCGATTTCTTTCTGTCGCTTAGATGCTCTCTCTACTGTGTCTGCGACGTCGAAAGCTGCTAGGAATGTTGAGTCCCTTTCTGCGAATAGGCATTGCCTCAGCAACTCCCCTTTAAATTTCTTGGTGTTCGTTTTCACGAAAATCTATACTGGACTTGTCAAGTGAACGAACTCTGAAGGGATATTTCTGGATCAATTGGTTTAATTTGTAAGCTAAAATACCTTCTTCCAGCCTGGTTAAAAAAACAACTGTGTATATCTCTGATTCACTCGAGGCTGCATTACTGTTTATTGGTCTGGGGGACGACTACAGCAAGTAATATTAAGCAATTATTTACACTGCAAAAACGCGCAGTTAGGTCAATTGATAATTTACCTTGGACTGAATCGACTTCCCCTAGCTTTATTAAACATGAAATATTAACGTTGGACAATCTTTTTTGCCTAAAGGTCGCAATTTCAGTTCATACTCAAATAAACACGAATCCCGCAATATTTTACGAAACATATTTATCCAAGCCAACAAATTACAACTTGAGACACCAGCAGTTTTCAAAACCTAAAATAAGAACTTATTACGGTACACAAAAAATATCCTACCAGATAACCAATCTTCTTAACAGAAATTATTGTGTATTCGAGTTAGCCCAGACATAGCGTCCATGTTTCTTTTCAAAAAATACCTTACGGTATACTTCAATGTGCCTAGTGTGTATTCCTAGTATAGTTCACATCAAAATAGATTGTACATTTTTTGTTTTGTATTTTTATCTTCTGAGATATTGTTTTATTTTTGATTTATGCTGTTTTTGATTCATTTCCTGTGCCCTGCTGCTGAGTGCTGTAACGGGGGTTGGGGAGCTAGTCAGGTGATTCGTTTTCGCCTTTTGTCCCAACCTCCCTGACAATTGTGTCAAAAATAAATAAACAAACAAACAAACTCGCCGGTTAGGCCGCAGACGAATCTGTTGCGCAGCACTACATCCGACGGCAGTTTGGTGAAAAAACAGAGCGCTGACGAGCTGGTGTAGGTTTACCATTCTTTTAGACCACCTGAGACTGGGTGGAAGAAACAAGACGACGTCTCAAACACAGCTAACCACTTTATCCAGTGCTCCCTCCTTTTATACATCCTGAACCCAAAATCGTCACCAGAAAGAACACACTCTAAACAATGGCACCAAGGGGACACGCCTTGACCTCACAGCCTCGCTTGTCTTCACACACAAAAGAAAAATCACTTTGAACCAAAAAAAGGTACACACATCAAAACATCGGCCGACAGGAACATGCCTTGACCTCGCAACCACCCTTATGTTTACAAAAAACAAACAAACAAACCACACGAACCGACTGCAGTTCGAACCCACCGACCTGTTAACCTCCTTTTTTTCCCCTTTTCCTTTACGTACGCATATAAACAGAACAAGATCAGGACTAAGGGGCTACCTCTCGGGAAAGACACAAGACCTAATCACTTCATACTCGCAGAAAAGCTTTCGCACTATCACTAAGAAGCATAGATGCCTGGCTTATGCAACTGCCGATCGACCTAACTTTTACTGTCTCTTTTACAACCCTTTTGACGTCATTGACCTCTTTGCATACTACCGTTGTACCGGGCCACTCGGCTGTGCGGTTTCTGCACATGCGTTGCAATTTCGGAATTAGGCGCTTTTATCTTTACGTTTCTTTTGTGTTCAGTTAGTCGATCGTTCAAGCATCTTGAGGTCTGCCCTATATACAGTCTAAGCTCATTATAACAGACCTGGTTACAACAGACATTTGAATATAACATACCGATTTGTGAAGTGCGGTTGGTTTTCCTCTATGCCCCATTGACTCAACTTCATATCTGCATACAACATACTCCTTTTACAACAGACCGAAATCTTGGTTAAAATCAAAGTCTGTTATAACGAGCTTAGACTGTAGTACCTAAAACCGCAAGTCATTGGTATCTCGTAAACGACACCAGTTTCACAAGGCACAGGTTTTTCCCTGTGGCTCTTTTGGCACCCTTTTTCCTCTCTTTGGAACGCAGTGAGGTTGCCCAACTTAAAGTCCGAGCTGAAGGCCACATTAACGCCAAATTGTTTTGGCACACGCTTTTACATTGTGTGACACGGTGTGAAAATGAGGCATCACTGCGAGCCTATTTCTCGATTTGTCCTCTGCCTTTCCCTTTTCCCGGCTGATTAAGGTCACTTGCCTCCCGGTGAAATCTCCCTCGTAGCGTACATTAATCAACCATTGCCACTGCCCTCTGACTGCGTTAGCCATGAAATGAACACAAGACCTGTTCAGAGCATTGGTGAGCAACAATCTTACGACACTCGCCTTTATCGTCTTAGAATGGCAACTCTTTTTTGGGAGTACTGGTTTCGGGCCCTGTTAGAGTATCGACAGGGAGGCTCAAGCCCGCACATATTGAATCGTCACACCAAGGTGCACCAGTGACTAAATTGGTCAAACCAACCGACTGCAGAGTTCATTTTTCAGCTTAACATGTCTAATCGACAGTGTAGCGGTCATCCCACCGACCCTTGGACGGGAAAGGAAGAGGAGGATGAGACAGTGCACTTCTCCCTTTTAGTAAACGTTTGGGGATTCAGAAAATATAGTTAGTTCAAGTAACTCCTCAAAAATCGCCGGGGTACCCCTTTAAAATGTTCCTCTCTCTTTGAACGGCGGCTTTTCAGGTTGGACAGCGGCTGGATCATCAAGATTGGCCGAGGCCTGGACTACTTCCGACCGACGCCCAACAAGTTCAGCCTCGGATTCTTTGACCACGACCTCAGGACGTGCCACGAGACGACCGTCGACATCTTCCACAGAGACTTTGTGCATCCGGTGCCCAAGCCTTCCTGATGTAAGCCGTGCTGTTTGTGGTGATTGAGAGGCGTGTTGAGCGTGCTTGACGTGACATTTATGCACGCTTAGATTTAATGCAAACACGATTGGAAAGGAATCGACAATCACGAAAAGACGTCGGCAGCTCAAAATCATGATTCCTTTTTCTGCACGTGAGTGGCCACTCGAGAGTCAGTAGCTCAGGGCTTCTCCGCCCTCTTTTACTCTGTCCCATGAAGTGATAACAGTGAAGTTGGAATATATGAGAATAAATGACACGTTTATGGCACAGCTTGATCAATAAAAGTGATAAAATGCTTTCAATGCAATTTTTGTGATCGTCAAAACGCAGAAAGCACGTCGACTTTAAGAAAAAACAACCTGGAATGCATATTTCAGTGATGTGATTCTGTGCCGATTGCACCAAACTGTGCCAGGGGGCTAACCCTGCTGCATCCTGCTACATTTTGCCGAAATATAGGCCAAAATCCAATTTCGGCTGCCTTTCAAAACGGAAACAAAACTGAGTACAGTGTAGGCCGCATATAACGTATGTCGCGGGAGTCGCGAAAATCCGCACTATAAGCGGTACCGCGCTATAACCAAAACATCAATTTTTCAGGCCAAAATACATGCCATGAGACAACTTACCTTTGTAAAAGAATTTATTTTATGTTAGATGAAAAATAAAGCTTAGTTTGAGGAAAGTCTTTATTTTACCAGACTAGTACACTTTTCTCTCAAGTGTGTCACACATTTTGAAAGAAATGAGCGACTTTTGCCTGGCGCAGCCTTTTAACTGCGTTGCGGGTTGCGGACGAACGTTGCGAGCGTTCAGGATTGCTAGCCCTTATCACTTTTCTGCGGCGATGAAAACGCGTGAAAATTCGCACCCTTTATACGGTACGCGCCAGTAATACCTTCAACTTGAGCACAGGCATGAAATGGTCCAAATAAGAAATCCGGGCGACGTTCGAAACCGCAAATGCTAAGAAAGCACCACTGTAGTCGAAGTAAACAAACACGATGACACAGGCGTTTCTGCCGTCTTCAGAGTGCCACCACGACATCGCCGCACGAGTAGGTGGATCTTCCCTTCTAGTATGTGCTGGGTTATCATAGCGACACACAACGGAAATTCACAGTCAAGGATAGTGCTTTTAAGCGGAACGATGAGCTTCCACCACGCTGTCTACGTCGACGATCACAACCGACGCCATGTTTGCGAATAGAAGAAGCCGGCCTGCGACCGGGCATGCAACACGCGCGACCAGTTCTCGACCTGCGATTGGTCTGACACATGCGTGCGTCCCCCCCGTCGCTATGGCAACTGAAGCCTCTCTCTTCGCTTCTCCCCGCTTTTTCGAGCAACCTCCTTGCCCCGCGAGTGCCGTTTGCGGCTAGTGCCGTTATCTAGTGTGGCACAGGGAAGCGTGCTCGCTCCGCTGGTCGGTCGGCGCGGTCGGCAGGCTGTTCCAGAAACCGCACTATAACCGGTATTTCCCTTCGCGCGCCTGCATTTTAAGCGGTATGTAATTACATGGAATTCTATGGGAGGCGAACCGGTGGTTTAAAAGAGCCGCGTTATACCCGGTCCTGCACTATAAGCGGTTACGTTGCAAGTGGTCTATACTGTACTGCAAAATGCACGCATTATGTGGCGCAAGCGGCCGCCTGACACAAAGTACCCTGCATCAATTGTCCATCCGGTCTTGCATGGTTTTCCTGCCGTCTCGCATTTCGTGCTCTCGTCATCTCAAAAATCTCATCTCGCGTCTTTTTTTTATTTTTTTTTTATTTTCAACGATAGACACGGGTTTGTGCAATACCACCTTGAAGACAAGACCTGCGTGTTTCCTCCTCTAAACGTCATCACTAGTAGATACCCTCAGCGCCCCCTAGGCGGCCTGGATAAGCACCATCGTCTGCTATATCGTCTGCGACATATTCTGCTCCATCGCCCACTTCAGTGGTTTGTGTAGCAGATAATGAAACAGATGCTCATGCCGAGTGTCTGTTGCTATAGCATACAATGAAGTTAGATGTCCACTTGGAGCGTCAAATGCACAAGTGAAAATGCCTTACTGCTGTGTGAACGGCTGCAAAGCTCTTCGCTGGACGTTTGACGCTGGCAGTGGACACCATTTTGAGGGCGCTGTTTATACTCGTTTACTCTTAAGCAGAGAACGCAGCCAACGCCACAAGCGCAAGAGCTGGAGGTGGCTGCTTTGAAGCGTTCTTCCGCAGAAGGAACAAGCGCGCTAGAAATGCACGTCTCAAAGCCAGGAGCGCGTGCTAGCTTGCGCTTCTAGCCAAGGGAGTGTTCGCATGCACGTTGCACATTAACTGGAAGCTCACTATCAGCTCGCGCTCAGCAGTTGCGCACACAGTTGTGTACGCCAATGAATGCGACGTAGTTGTGACGCGGCCCATACTCTCATCAAGCTTCAGGCTGTTTGCCGCTTGGGGCGGGTCAGGGATTTACTAACCAGACTTCATGCGCAGGCTTTGTTTTCCAGGTGGTAGTGGTCTGTGCGGACACTCCGATGCTAGCGTGCCAGGTACCAGCCATGCCGTCATGCTGTGAAACGAAACCACGTTTTTGCACGGCAGCAGTTACTTTGTGAGCTGAAGCACTTTCTCCTGAAAGCAACAGCCGTGGGAAAACTATTTGGTTCCTGCCTTCCAGTCACTGTGGTCGCGCGACGTCGAGTGTTGCCGTCCCCACGTCGCTGCAGATATGGCGCATTCTAAAATGAAACTAAGTACTGTTGCATGTTCATCAACATTCCCATTCTTGTTTAAATCATACATTACTACAAAAATTCCTCTTTAACTAAAAGACTGCTGTGTCAAAGTATTGATTACCTAGGTTTCTCTCAATGGGCTTCCTGTCTAGAGGGATCCCTGTATGTGAAACATCTGTCGCGAGAAAAAGTTGAAGAGAAGTGAGCTAAAGCAAAGAAGGCAATGTCTGTTCGCTGAACCCACACAGCGCACTTCTTTGTCTCGATTTCAGTTACAGTGTAGACCGCATATAACGTATGTCACGGGAGTCCCGAAAATCCGCACTATAAGCGGTACCGCGCTATAACCAAAACATCAATTTTTCAGGCCAAAATACATGCCATCAGACAACTTACCTTTGTAAAAGAATTTATTTTATGTTAGATGAAAAATAAAGCTTAGTTTGAGGAAAGTCGTCTTTATTTCATCAGACTAGTACACTTCTCTCTCAAGTGTGTCACACATTTTGAAAGAAATGAGTGACTTTTGCCAGGCGCCAGTAATACTTTCAACTTGAGCACAGGCATGAAATGCTCCAAATAAGAAATCCGGGCGATGTTCGAAAACACAAATGCTTAGAAAGCACCACTATAGTCGAAGTAAACAAACACGACGACACGGGCGTTTCTGCGGTCTTGAGAGTGCCGCCACAACATCGCCGCTTGAGTAGGTGGATCTTCCCTTCTAGTACGTGCTGGGTTATCATAGCGACACACAACGAAAATTCACAGTCAAGGATAGCGCTTTTACGCGGACCGATGAGCTTTCACCACGCCGTAGTTCACTTTAACCCCGTCTACGTTGACGATCACAACCGACACCATGTTCGCGGATAGAAGCAGCTGGTCCGCGACCGGCATGCAACGCGCGCAGGGGCGGATTAAGAGGGGGGGTCCGGATGTCCTGACCCCCCCTCTTGATTTCTGCATGCGTAAAATTTAGGGCGTAAAAGGAAGGAGAGGGGGAAGGGGTTCCTAAACATATGGTACGCTGACCAACACCTGACCCCCCCCCCCCCCCTCAGCAAATTCCTGCATCCTCCCCTGAACGCGCGCGAACACTTCTCCACGACCTGCGATTGGTCTGTCGTTGCGGTTGTTTGTTTCCAACGCAGCGGAGGGACGCACGCACGTGAACGACACGTGCGTGCGTCCCTCCGTCGCTATGGCAACTGAAGCCTCTCTCTTCGCTTCTCCCCGCTTCTTCAAGCCTTCAAGCAACCTCCTTGCCCCGCGAGTGCCGCTTGCGGCCATTGCGACTCGCGCCGTTATCTAGTGTCGCACAGGGAAGCGTGCTCACTGCGCCGCTCAGTTGGCGCGCTGTTCCAAAAACCGCACTATAACCGGTATTTCCCTTCGCGCGCCTGCATTTTAAGCGGTATGTAAATACATGGAGTTCTATGGGAGGCGAACCGGTGGTTTAAAAAAGCCGCGTTATACCCGGTCCTGCACTATAAGCGGTTACGTTGTAAGTGGTCTATACTGTATTGTACAAAGCGCTCCAACAACTTTTTGACCCTGGCTCGCGACATCTTGCATCAATGCGCTCAGGTTCTTTTTCTTTTTGTGTGTGTGTGTGTGTGTGTGTGCGTGTGTTTAGCTTGTATACTTGTTTGCCGGCCTGGCAAGCATGCGCCGCTGGACTGTTTTTTGTCATATGCTGAACAGTTACATTTTGCTTACAATTATGGGGAACAGTTGGCGAGTTGGCGACGGAGCGGAGTGGAATGGTTTCGGTTTCGATCGAACAGCCGTTGTCTCTGCTCGCGCGACAAAGCACGCACAACTGCGCAAGCCTGCCACAGTTGCCCTCACGTGCATGTGAACATGATTGCACGACAGAGTCACCAGCCGGGACGTTTGCAATCCATTGCTTTACGTTTGCTGGCTTTTGACAAAAATCTGGCACGTCGGGAACCATTAAAACGGTGGCAAGTGGTTTTTCGGAATTGCTTGGCAATGTCTACAGCACTGTACACTTGTGGGATGTCTCAGCAGTAGAAACACAAGCAGTGAGTTCTGTCACAACACGTCACATGAGAACACAACACAACACAAAATGCCCATCGTTTGTGCAGCACTTAGAACAAATATTTTTATTTTTCTAGGAATATCTGCTCCGAAAGTCACTTTTGCTGCCCCGAAACACTGTCTTGGCTGCTCCAAAAGCCACTTTTAAAAACACTGTTTTGGTTGCTCCAAAGGCCACATTTGCTGCTCCAAAACACTGTTGGTTGGCTGCTCCGAAAAGTGCTCCAAAATGGATTAGGCCAATCACATCACTGATATTTGCGGGGAGCGAATCTCTGGTGTCTTGATCCTTTTTGAGGAAATTATTTTTCTCGGGAAATGTGCGACTCTCCAGGGAAGAGGTCTTTGAGTAGCGTCTTGGCACCCTATTTTGGTGTTTTGCGTTGATATACTATAATTCTTTTTTGGAGTGTGTCAGAGGCCATCGTAGTTTGCACTTAGACAAGTTCTTTTGTTTGTTTTCACCACTTGTTTTATTTATAGGCTGTGGTGTGGGAGCTTCTCAGA